ATTTTCTATAAAGTTATTTCTAAATGTTTCATATATTTTTATAGTCTTTATTATGTACTAAAATGTCATCTATATATACACAAACAAATGGAAGAGAATTAAATATAATATCTATCTTTCTTTGAAAAATAGAGTGTACATTTTTCAATCCAAAAGACGTGACTAACCATTCAAAATGTCCTAATGCAATGGTAAAGGTTGTCCATGGAATAGAATCTTTTGCCATTTTTATTTGCCAAAATTCATATTTACAATCAAATTTAGAAAATATCTTGCTATTTTGTATTTTATTTATTAGCATATCTTTATCTGGTATCTTATATTCATCCTTTACAGTGTTAACGTTTAATCTTTTATAGTTTGTCACAATTCTTTCTTTTTCTCTTTTTATTTCACTATAATTTCTAATCATAAAGGCTACTGATCTATGTTGACTAATAGATGGTCTTATTTCTTTTAAATTTAATAACTCTTTAATCTGTATATTAAAATCTTCTATATTTTGATTTGTGTGTTTTATTTCGCTTGTTCTAATTTTCATATTTTCATTTATTATTTCTAATTTAACTTTCTATTTTATTTTTATCCCAATATTTTATTTAGCTTCTATATCTTAATTAACCATTAAAATGGCACACATATCAATGGGACAAAAGTTTTTGGTCTATAATTCCATTTAATATCACCTAGAAAGGATAAGCATGATGTGCCATGATACCTACTAGCAATAAGTCTTATTGAAAATGAACTTACTAATTAATAATTATTATAGGTAAAGACAAATGTATAATTAATTAATTGAAGTGGGGTAGATTGAGCACAATAATAGATCTGGTTCTAACTATTACATGTTTTACCTATTCAATAGTTTGATTCATTAAACCTTATTATCAAATTTGTGAGGACCTATTCAATTTCTATATATATATATATATTGAATTAATATGCAGAAGCATAAAAATTCATAAAATTGTACTAGATTATAAATCTCTGCACTTCCACTTAACACATATTGTAATAATAAACGATTCTTCTCGACATGACCTTCTCTTTAATTTTCAAAACTTCAATAATATGGAAAAATCAAAATCTCATTCAATGTAATGCTCAATTCTAGTTAATTC